CGTTTGCGATAAGCATTGTAAGCACGGGGGCGGTATTTACCAACGGTTATTCCAACTGGCCATATATTTGGATTTAGGATAACTTTGGCTTTTTCGCGGGGCACCTTTATCTTGAAAGCACTAAAGTCTATGCCATCTCGCTCCGGGAGTAGTTCCACGCTAATTACTGAATTTTCAATTTCATTGAGGTATTCTTTCAGGTCGCTTACAGGGACACTTTTATCAAATCCTGAGACATAGATGTCTATGGCTGCTGTGCTGGCGGAGACTTTAAGGGTGGCATTTGTATTGATCCCGGCCCCTCTGATATTTGTGATTTTTCTTTTCTTTTTATTTTCAACCAGGTGGAAGCCCTCTTCGACGATTCTCTGCGGCGTTTCCTTACTGTTTGGCGTTTCCAAAATAGGTAATATATCAATAGTTGATTTAGCACCTATTGGTTTGTGTGCTGAGCTGCTCAAATTCTTATTATTGTTCTGGTGACGCAGATTATCTGTTTCCTGAATAGGGGTGTGAATAAACCCAGCTGGGCCGCTCATATTGGTACCTGGAGATAGATCAACCACTGAGTGTTGATAAGTGGTTTTTTGTACTGGTGTTTGAGGGTCCAATTCTCGTGTTACTCGTATGCTAGTTGGGTTTTCTTTCGATATCATATTAATGATCTCGTTTTTGATGTCACCGATTTCGTGTTTAGTAGTGTAGGATTTCTTTATTATGTCGATTTCATTTCTAAGGTCATTTATATTCTTTAACAGACTGGATGCGTCAACGTGGTCGAAATTGACCGGGGGTAGCCTGTGAAGGTCGCGCGCCACAAAGATAGGTGCTGTTTTTGGGTTGACTTCTTTGAGCACGGTTACAATATCTTGTATATCCTTACGTTTTTTGTCGGATTTTCGGTTTATTTGTCGTAGGTTTGTTGTCACATTTTCAAATAATAGGTTTTTTGCAGTCGTTATTTCTTCTACGGTATTATGGTTTGCACAGATGTCAATTAAGCTCTTTTCGCTCATCACGTCCATCCTGCTCTGAAGAAAAGCGAGCAATTCGTTGATAATAAGCCGACACGAAGGGCACTTTTTCACCTTCTGTTGCGACATTTTGCCGGTCCGTGGGTAGGTATTTACGTATAAATGGATATTTTCTGGCGCTGGACTATCCTCATTGCGTGCTAGCCATGCCAGGTGGAACCCGTGTGGGAAGCCCAGCTAACCGCCCGCAAGCAGACAGTCCATGGTCCAGAAGTTTCCACAAAAATCCACTTAGAGTAGGTATATTTTTCGTAATGTGGGTATGATAGGCGCGTACGCGTTGTGCGAGTGCGGAGTGACGCAGGTATGAGTTGAGGCGACCGCTCGGCGGCGCGCGCGATTCGGACTGTAATGGCTTCAAAGTAAAAGTTATTCAGCATGACGGGCCGTTTCTGCTGGCAAATGGTCACGAGGGTCTGGAGTACTTTATGTAGACCACCAGCATCCCATATAAACTATAAGAGATACGGCAATGGCTTCATAGACAAAGTTGTTAACCATGACGGGCCGCTTTTGCTGACACATGATCATCGAGGATCTGGAGTACCTGATGAAGACCACCAGCATCCCAGTTGTTCACCATGACGGGCCGCTTCTTCTAGCACATGGTCATCGAGGATCTGGAGTACCTGATGAAGACCACCAGCATCCCATCTAAACTATAAGAGATACGGCCATGGCTTCAAAGTAAAAGTTATTCAGCATGACGGGCCGCTTCTGCTCGCACATTTACCTCTGCTGGATCGGAGTAATGGACTTTTTACTACGGGCAAAGATCCAATTTCTACGGGAAAACAGGTAAGTAGCAGCGGGTGAAACCGCTGGGCGGGCTGCTATATGAGGATAAGATGGAAATTCGTATTGTCCTAACGCATGCGGTACGCAGCGCTAAGATAGTCATGTCATGTGTGATACCCGCCTAAGCGTCGAAGTTGTCGAGTGAAGTTATCCTATCAATTTTACGCTAGTTAGCTGTTGCTTGAATCTGCGGTTATGTGGTTAGTGATGTGCTACAGTTATTAAGGTATGTTGGAAATGGCCTCTTTTTATCGAATTACCGTTCACCCTATATAACATATATTCAAGGAACATAATAAAAATATCGTAGGCAAAAATATAAAAATATGGGTTACCAGATTCGAGGGGTTCTCTGGGGTGGTTTATGAGATATATACGGTTACATTTAATTAAGTACAAATCTCTTGAGGGTGTAATCTACTCACAAAACTGAACAACTTTTGTTGAAAACTTTTCGTCGAAATATGAAAAAAAAAATTGGCCCTCCCATAGTAAGTGACACACTTTTTCAGCATTTTTGTATGGGAGGTCCTAATTTTTTTTTCATATTTCGAAGAAAAGTTTCAAACAAAAGTTGTTCAGTTTTGTGAGTACATCACAGCCTCAAGAGATTTGTACTTAATTAAATGTAACCCTATATACGGTGACAGTTGGACAGACAGCAAAAGTCGTAATAGAGTTTCGTATTCACCTTTTGGGTACCTACAGCATCCTTAAAACACTGTTGAGTACAGTAAAACAAAACTTAAAAATAAACAGTTAAATTATTGTTTTAACGGGATTATTACCGTGATTAGTTTTCTGTTTACCTCGATATTTCGGGGCGGTTGCACGAGGTAAACAAAAATAATAATATCGAGGTAAACAAAAATCTAATCACGGTAATAATCCCGTTTTAAACAATAATTTAAGTGTTGTGAACGACCGTGAAAACCTAAAAAACTTACTTATACATGTTACTCTGCCTGCACCCCATCCCTATTATACCAAACTTCCGGCTGTCAACCGGGAACTTTCCGTTCCCAGTTTATGCAGTCTCCACACCTGCCGCACGAGCTTGCGGTATTTGCGTTCGGTATTTGACAACCGTATGATAACATCTTATGCACCCTTGAAGGAAACAAGCAGATGTATTAAAAACAAAAACCGGCCAAGAGCGTGTCAGACACGCCCACAAATAGGGTTTCGTAGTCAACGTTTAAATATCAGGTTTTTCAGCATTACAAACTTAATTTGTTGCTGGTTTGTTAGCAGCAGTATGATGACCAACCGCAAATAGAAAAACTCATTTTTTTCTGAAACCTTTAAGGGTACAATATCCGTTATAGTTTTCATTGTAACTTCAGATTGTAAGCTATATTCCATATTTATTTCAAATTTTTAGCGTTTATACTTTAGAAGTTACAACTGGAACAAATTATGGGTCAAAAACGCCCTTTTTAAAAGCAAATATCTCGTGAGAGAAACATTTTAGTTACTTTGTTTCAAAAAAACCTCACCTTAGTTTTAAAAGACCTATTCAACGATACCCTACTCAATACTACAGAAGAAAAAAAAAATTTTTGCCCCCCTTTCACTTGTATGGGAGGGGGTCCAAAAAACATTTAAAATAATTTTGTCTCCTGTAATATTGAGTAGGATACCGTTGATAAGGTCTTTTAAAAGTAAGAGGAGCTTTCTTTGAAACAAAGTCTCTAAAATGTTTCTATCTCGAGAGATTTGCCTTTAAAAGGGGCGTTTTTGGGCCATAATTTGTTCCAGCTGTAACTTTTAAAGTATTCAAGCTAAAAATTTGAAAAAAATATGGAATATAGTTTTTAATATGAAATTGCCATGAAAACTATAACAAATACTGTACCACTTAAGATTAAGGAAATATTAAAGTTTTTCAATTTGCGGTTGGTAATCATACACCTGCAAACAAACCAGCAACAAAATTAACTTTGTAATGCTGAAAGACCTGATATTTAAACGTTGACTACGAAACCCTACCTATGAGCGTGTCTGACACGCTCTTGGCCGCTTTTTTTAAATGACCCTCAGATATAGCGACGGTATATTATGGTAGATAGCGACCGTTGCGGTTATTTACGCTCTACGAACTCTGCAAGTGATTTTGTATCTAATATAGCGGGAGTAACGGAAAGGGTATAACAAGCCGAAAGGAGGTCAAGGTACTCATGAAACTGAACAACTTTCCCCATGGAACATGGGTCGAAATATGAAAATAAAATTTGGACCTCCCATACTAAATCAATCAGCTAATCGGCGATTTTGTATGGAAGGTCCAAATTTTTTTTCATATTTCGGCCCATGTTTCATGGGGAAAGTTGTTCAGTTTCATGAGTACGTTGACCTCCTTTCGGCTTGTTATACCCTTTCCGTTACTCCCTGTATTTATGTGATGTATTTGGCAAATTACAGCTGCGTAGCGATGCTTACTCGTATCTATCTGCTTCGAACAACTCCTGTAGCGGGTGACGTAGCGTAGTGCGGCATGCCTGAGAACTGATTTATTCCCAGGGCAATTGTCAGCGCTAACAACCACAGCTGGAGCGCCTGGAAGCGCTGCAAGTTCCAGCTCTTCGCTTCAAACTCATTAATTAATGCCGTTAATTTGGACAGAGAGGAAACTGTTGTGGTTCTCTAGGTAATATCGCCGGAACATCAAGGGACCTTACGCTGGTTTTCATAGAAATATTAAAAAATAACCAGTATAAGTGGATCCTTTAGATGTGATAGGAGAAGTTTACGAAATCGCATAATATATAATTACCAAAAAAAAACGGATACACTATTATATTATTTTATGATTGTACTCGTCGCCGCATCAAATTAAGGCTCTTTGATCACATGTTGTTATATTTGTAGGAGCTGCAAAGTCGTCCGGTGCGAAGTTAGATAATGCTTCACCTAACATTACCTACAGTTGGTATTTTATGTATTGGAAAACCAATATCATGTCTCTATGCTAGCCCATTGCCTACCCCATATTTTGTATTCAAATTGGCGAAGAATATGTGCCTGGAATATAGATACAAGTATTTTCCAGTTTTTACTTCGTTTTATCTATTTTCTCCCACACACTCAATTTCATGTGCCTATTATAGTTCGTACGGAAATCTGGCTACGTTTTCTATATATTTTTGGAAAACATATAAAATTTTCCACCGCAGTCAGGATATAAACCTGCGACCTTCGGAATCCGTACTGCCGACGCCCCTACCAACTGGGCTACCGTGGCTCAGTCTCAGCCTGCAAAATAGTGCAAGTGTATCTTGGCCACGCGTGCCCAAATAAATTGTATATCTAACATGAGATGTGTTTTTAAATTTGGTATTAAATATTCCATAGATGTTGCTGTGGTGTTAGATTAACATATCCCATATATTTTCTTGTGAATTGTATAAGCTATATATTACAACAAATGCCTATTATAGTGGTTAAATAACACAGTGTGAAAAACATACTGAAATAATTCGATTGCACCCTTAAATCTTAAAGTACAATATTTTTCCCTATTGTACACAAGCTCGTCCCACTGACCGTATACGGGAGTCACGTAGAACAAGTAGTGAAGAGACACTGATTCGAGCACACACACACACACACTCATTCGATTCGTAGGTAGTTTGAGAGGGACCAGCTGATTGGACTCACTTAACAAGATTGTATTTTGCCGAATTATCCGAGCCATTGTTACTTTTGCTTGTACAATAATGTCAGCGCACGCAGACGATGTCGGAGCATGCTTGCCTAGGGCCTTTGAATAGGCGCTATCAGCTATTCACTCACGCCTTGAACATGTCCGATTAGATATTATAATGCGATAATGCCCAATTGTAACAATGTTAAGGTTTCGACTTTGCCGTTCTTATGCAGCCGCGCAGACTTTGCAGTTCTTATGCAGACTTATATTGGCGGTTCGAGCACAAATGAGGAAAACGGCGCTCGGGCGCCTTTGGTCCGACAAGTTCGTGCGCGACCTTCCCTAGGGGTGACAGACGTTGGCGGGGGAGATGTCAGCGGGTAGCGGGAGGTGTAGCGGGGAAGGGTGACGCGCGCATCCGCGCCGCACGTCATATTAAAATGACGTGCTTCCTCGCCCCGCTACCGTCTGTACCCCGCAGGAGGGTCGCGCACGAAGCTGTCCAACTGACTGCACAACATCTCGAAAAAAAAGAACTAAGTACGTACTTGATGAGAACGGCATAATGCTTTTTGTGCTCTACTTACTCCACAAAAATTAAGACGTGATTTTTATCTATTTGGGTATTAATCTAAAACTCAAAATACACGAATATGAAATTATCATATTCGTGTATTTTGAGTTTGCCTACTAGAATATTGAATGAGAACTGCATAATGCTACTTACCTCACAAAATTAAGACGTGATTTTTATCTGTTTGGATATAAATCCATCTTAACTTCATATTCGTGTATTTTGAGTTAGTGCACGCTAAAATTTATTATTCCACTAAAGTTCAGAGGAAAATTGGAAAAGCTCCGGAAAATAAACATGTTTGTTACATTGCATAACTTCTGTGCATAACATGTTATCTAGTGAAAACAGTTTGATTAATGATATTATACAAGGTGTTCCAAAGGAAATACATTAAATTGGAGACATTGTGTAGACCATTGTACTGAACAATTTCCATTATGGCACCAAGTTTGTATTCTTAACAATTAAGAAGTTAATATTTTCATACAAAGTAAATGCCTACACTTACTACAACCATTATGTATTACCCTTTATCCAAGATTGCAACCTTGTATTTTTAACTTGTTGGATTTGAATCTTCGAAAAAGTTTGGAACATAGTTGTCAATGTTTTAAATTTATAACTTAAGATAAAAGATCTCTTTCTTGGTGTCAACTTTATTTTAAACTTCTTTTGACTTAGAGCACCCATAGAGACGCAAAGACAAAGGGCCAATCAGAGAACCCAGTAGAGTCTGTATGTCAGTTTTTGACGAACATGACATTTGACCTTGGTCTACGCCAGAACTGTTGCCTTGGCAACTAAATTACCGCGAAAACCGTTGCCTTGGGAACAGTAGTGGCGGTAATTTCAAAAGTTTTTCTAAGACGGCAACATGACATAAATAAAGGTTATAATCAATAAAGTCCCTTTCATAATGTGGCACTCAATTAAATTTAACAAAATTAAGTTGCTAATTACTTCTAAAAGAGGGGTTTTCATAACTTGGCCCCATAATGAAAATTATTCGGTACGATGGCCTATACAACGTCTCCAATCTAATGTATTTACATTGGAACACCTTGTATGTATTACTTATACCTAGTGTTTCCACTCGATAGTGGACTATCGTTAGATTTACTACAGAACAGTCTATAGTATGGAACTATCAATCAATACGTATATAGATTGTTTTTCAATCGACAATTTGCAACCTTTCTTGGGAAGCAGAATTTGCTACGTTATTGGGCTATAGGTACTCACTCATATCATAATCATAGGGTTTCAAAGGAATTATTTAAAGTCTTCTGGAGGGCATTAAAAGCTCTTAGTAGAATTCTTTTGCAGCTAGAATGGCAGGAACGGGAAATCCCTAAGGAACAATCTTACACGTGTCTTACTTAAGTGTGCTCAAAGGTTAAAGGTGAATATGTAAGCCCCAGAATTTTACTAAGACGTTAAGGCATCTTTAAGATTTTTACTTAGATGTACAAGAGGAACTATGGTAGGTATCTCTCTTTGTGTGGGACACCGAATCGTTCATCGGCCCGATGAACCCTGGTGTCAGAGGTTGTCAACCGCCTACCCTACTGCAAGTAGCAGGCCTCTGACGCGGTTGTGTAACGAACGCTTGGAACGAACGCCATCATAGACAGCGACCGGGACCGACGACTTAACGTGCCCATCCGAAGCACGGAACCATCTTACTTGCGGACAATCAGGTGGTTCAGCCTGCAATGTCCTAACCAGACTGGGAACAAATTCACAGAGTGATAAATATCAACTTTGTGAGTGACCACACCGGGAATTGAGCCAGGAACCTTCTGCATGGTAGGCAGTCATACTAACAACTGCGCCACATTGGCTGTCAAATCACACACATTCTGCACATTAACATTATCATTTAACACGTTCAAAGCGGCGGCAATTTTTGGATACTTTCCGTTACAGCGGGACCAGGCGTATTTCACCTGGTGCTAAACTTTCCGTTGTGGCGGTACGGGGTCTGTTAAACCTGGTAACGTTAAAAAAACTTAAATGCTTTTTTTGACATAATTTAAAATGAAAATCAAAAAAATATCATTTGTCATCATTAATTATGAATTGATTTATATGAATCTGAAGGCGTACGTGAAAAGCTGATTTGGTTTAGGAGCTGTAGCTAAAACAAAATACCCGATCTTTTGCACCTGGTACCGCACTGCACACGGGCAGTTTTGCGCATATTTTAGTGTTGGGAAATCAAAATATCGATAACTTTTTGTAAGTTTTATTAAAAAAGCAATTAAGTAAGTTTAATATTTTTCATTAAAGCATTGGAGTAGGTACTGATTTTCACACTCAACACATCTCGTCAAATTTTTTTACTTTTACGGCTTCTTTGCGGTTTGGATTGGCTTTCAATTTTGCATAACACCCAATACAATTCTTTTTTACGACCTTTTATAAATTGATCTTTTTGTGGGATCTTTTTTATCGTAGCCTTATGGTTAAAAAAAAGTTCACGCATGCATTTTATCGAATACTATCACAACACTAACCGCGCGAAGCTCGCGTGTAGTGCGGCACCAGGTGCTCGGGGAAACCAGGCGTATTCTACCTGGTGCCGCACTGCATTTACATTTTAATTCTTCAGTGCGGAACCAGGTCTAAAAAACCTAGTTTTATGCTGACCACTTCTTCGATCTCTACGTTAGTAACACAACATAAAAATATATTTGTCTCGTTCCCACAACGATCAAATCTAAAGTTATGCCCTCCGCACGACAGAGAAGTCTATACTTTTCTTAGCCGCACGCTAAGCAAGTCATAAACCACGTCTTTTTGACCTGGTACCGCACTGAACGTGTTAAAAGGAACTGTGGTGATACACAGTCATCTGAATGACTATGTATGTTATGTAAAAGAGAAAGGAGACTAAGAAGTAAAGTTTGTGTAGTTTGTGTTGGTTGCCTAGAGCGTGTAGATTCAGAAGCTTGGCTCTATTTCAGATTTGAAATATTGTTTACAGTGTAAGCTTGCGATATTTTTCATGGAAATACTTTTGGTGGAATTAAAATTTCAGGAATTCGTAACAAACAAACAGTTCTTGTGCAATGACAAAAAGATATTGGCAATTTCCCCTCGCGGTTTACTAACGGGCGCACGATCCATCGGTAATTTATACGAAAGTGTGTGGTGCCGGCTTAGAATAGCATCACCCCGTGGGTGTCGCATAGACCGACTAAGGGATATTTATCCAAGAAGTGGAAAAACCTTGTAAGCGTGCTAAGTATGGCAATGCCCCTGAAAAGGGGAGGAGCATGTCCAGCAGTGGACTGTTTTGGCTGAAGTAGTAGTATTTATACAAAACAATTATGAACGTGGAAAACCAGAAATTCTACATGGCGTAGGTACACAATACATACAACAGGGTCATTCTAGCGGCAGCGGGCTTACCTGGAACAAATAAAGTACCTAAGCAAAGAGTAGTTAGGCACCTATACATACACCCTGGTACAAAATAAAAACGGGTTGCCTGATCTGATAATTACAGTGGACAATACAATAAGTAATGTAACTCAATATGATGGATAAAGGTAGCATTGGCAAAGGGTCATATTTAAACGAAGGTACGCCTGTGCAAAATATATTTACTAAATGAAAGCAGATTGATAGGAATCGGCATATATGCATGTACAGACCCTTCCCCCACAAATTAGGGAAACGGCGCGCGGGGCCCCTTTACAGATGGCTCACTCAGTACTACAGACGATTTTGACGTTTGCTGAATTTAACTGGAAATAACCGGAATCTCAGGGGAAGTCAAGGTAACTAAGAAGGTGGTTGACACGAGCGTCAAATTTCTTGGATTACAATTATCTCAGAATCATATGACGTTCTTTTTCAGATTTTTCTGTTTTGATATTTTTGTGCTTTGAGATTTTTGACAGCACAGCCCTTGCTATGTAACAAGTGCCGATCGCGAAAATCCGAAATAGGGCCGAGTGAACTTTCTGTATACTCTCTATTTTGTGCTTCTCCGCTGGCAGCTAGTTAA